TTAGGAATGTTTTTTTCTGTAGATATTTATTTATTTAACATGACCATATTAAATATATATAGACACATTCTAGCTTGGGTACCAGCTTTATTGGTTTAGAAAAAAATTTTATTCCAATGGTTACGATACTTAAATTGTTTAAAGAAATATCTTTTTCATAAATACCAAACAAAATACTTATTTTCTTTAAGTACCTATTTATTTTTAAAATTAATTACAATCAATTAAAATAATATTTATATATAGGTCTTCCCAATTATTTCTATTCACTCAAAATGTCTGTCTGGAGCTGACAATCCCCTAAATAAAATCGGATAAAGCTGTCTTTTTATTTCCCCTGTTAAAATGTTTGCAACACAAATAAATTCAATTTGGCAGTGTTAATAAATCTATTTATAATAATAATAAGATAATTATTCAGCTACCGGTGAATCTTTTTAATTCGTACGAAATTATGAAACCTTATTAGCTTGAAAACCTTTGAACGTCGTCGTCGGTACAATGACGAACAATATTCTTATTAATTTAATAAACAGCTTACTTTATAACGTGTGATTAAAAAAAATCACTTTCGTTATTACCAAAAGTTAACGCACAAATGGCCACACATAATTTTCAAAAGCAAACATTAATCAACAAAATGTTCCGAGTAATATAAATTAGCCAACCCGTTACCAATTATATCTCACAAACCATCCATTTCTGACATCCAATTGATCTTTCGTAACTACTATTAAATGTCAGCGAAACTATCGCTGTCTCATTCTGATAAAATAACACCACAGTGTTCCTATCCCTCTCAGTAGCAATTTAGAGAAAGCCGCTTGGGAGAGCGTGTAACTCGTAAAAATTGCAAATTCCTAACAACCCCAATTTGTCGCGTAATAGCGTTTCTCTCTCCCTCATCAATCCGTCCCTCTCGCACGCTAATGGATCGACAATAAAGTAATATAGAGATAAATAGCTTTCCGCTTAAATTTTGGCCCAATTCACGCTCTGCCCCGTAATTGTGTGTCTCCCCTTTGCGTTCCATCTCACTCGCACTCGCGTGTTATATCAGCCGTCTCGTTCGCTCGCTAATCCATAGGGGAGCGGTATAATCGCGTACATAAGTACTTAATCGCATTTTGGGGCATGTTGCGAATGATACCCTCTATTTATTTAGTGCGGGTACCGTTCTGATGCGCGGATTTTACTCCCTTACCCTATTAAAACGATTGTTTGTGGAGACTTATGACTTTTATTATTTGACCGGCGACGGTAGCGCTATTGTCCTTCACTGTTTAATTCAAATGGGGAACCTTTTGTAATGGTCGCTGTAATAATTTTGGCAGATGCATTTTTGTTTCTACATTCAGATGAAATTAAAGTTTTATTGTCGTGTGATGGGTGAAGTTTGAACATTAAATTTGCATCAGAACATCATAATTGTGTAATCGTTTGTTGAGTACAGTTGTTTACTGAATATATTATGTATTTAAAAACTTTTGTTGTTGAGTGTTCGAGTTAAAATTCATTTATTGTTTAATTGTTTCACTGTTTGGTTGAGAATTTAGTTTTATTAAGTTTCAGTAAAGGTAATTACTGATTGTTTACGGCATCAAAGCCTGCGTCTTCTTATTACTTCTTACTCGTACAGAAATGCTCCAATTAGTGACACGGACTTCGCTTAGAGAAGTTGGTGTCGCTTATATTAAAAACGTGTCTCGTAAAATTACTGACAAATTTTAATGTTTTTATCTAGTATTCATTCCAAATATCATTTATAAATATGACAAATGACATAACAGCCGATAACCAAATCTCAAACGTGATAAAATACAAAACCCCATCAAGATTACTATTATAAAAGCTCAATTTGCTTGAGCGATACGTTCAATCCCCGAGGAGGTTATTCGCTTGACAAATGTGAATCCTATTTTTGTTACGTTTAAGATTCTTTTTGTATATCTCGTGTCGCCCCCGGACCACGTATGATGCTCTCAGGGGATGGTGGAACAATTGCTTATGTCGTAAACACAAAGATGTCACGTTTTTTATAACATATGAGGAAAATACGAGCTTGGTATCGGGACAATATATTTTATTGGAACGGGTATATAAAGCATTATAATTTTTTTAAACGTTTAATATTCAGAAACGCATACATTACATATAATAATGTATATCGATACAATAAAAAGGAAAGAATTGTTTGTTTACATTGAAAAATGCTCTGAAACTATTGGACTGGTTTTAAAAATTCTTCCAGCCACGGGAATCTACATCATACGCGGGTGACATAGCCTATAATTTAATTTTGTATTAATCAAACTACATGTTTAGAATAAGACTAGAATTCTTGAAGAGTTTTTCTAACACCAGTTATTTCTAGAAAATTTCGAGAAAATATATTTCACTGATCCGTTACCTGCCTTTAAGGAAGTCACATACCTACAATAATATTGAAGTTCGCAACTATGTGTCAATGTTTTATCGGTGTCTGTACCTTTAAACATATAATTATAACATCTCATTTACCGTTTTTCAAACCCTACACCTGTATTTAGCAACTATAAATCGTATAATTTACTACTCACCAAGTAAGATGTTTTACGTAATTTAAAACCTATAATTTTAAAGGTACAACAACTTTGTTATATTTAAATGGCTTTAGTCTGTGGAGTTTTGAGTATAAAGAGAGGTTTTGTCGGTAGTTAAATTGTATGTGTGTGTCAACAACGTTTTATGTGAGAAACATTGTCGTGTAAATTGTTGCTGTTGTCGTTTGTCCGTTGTTTGTATTGTCAACGTACAAGGATTATTCTGAGGTAATATTGGGTTATTGCGACTATAGGAATAGTAGTGAAAAGTGTTCCCTTTCACGGCAAACATCTCGGTCTAGTGGCAATGTATCTAAATTCTGTAAAAGATATGAAACTTTTGAAGTTGGTTACGGTTTCAAAGGTGTTTATTAATGGACAGACAACAGCCGATGATCCTCAAAGGTTTTGTTAACAAGGTTTTCTGATGTGTGAGTATTTGTGGAAAACAAATACATTTAATAGCGCGGATAAACAACTGCAATATTTATATTTGATTAATATTGCAGTCTCAATGCTATACTTGAAAACATTCTTAATATATTTTTTAAGCATTTTTCATTGAGTATGTAAAAAACGAGAAAATAAAACTTATAAATTTATATTTTAATTTATAATAAGAACACTACTACTCCACCAGCTCCTATTTATTTAAATTGTATTTCCCTTTCCTCTATAAACGCATATAACAATTGCGTTATCACTGTTTGATTAATTCTTAACAATATTTAATAAAAGAACCGAAAAAAATGCTTCATAAACAAATAATATTCATAGCACTTTCCCCGTTCCTCATCAATCCATCTCTTTCTGTCACGCGCCATTACTCTTCAAAAGAGCGAAGGAAAGTAGCTGATTGATATTCGATGTTCATACGTGAAGACCTAATGTACCGTGACGTCATCTAATTTGGAACTATCGCCCCCCAGTCGGCGACCAATAGGGAGCTTTTATTTAATTTTAATACGCCAATGAACTAAATAAGTTAACATGATAACTAATCATCGCCGTGCAGTTTGTGGGGCGACGAGTGTCGGGTAAACTCGCCCCACGCTTTAAGTTTCAATGAGTTTTTTTTATGACGTAATAATATTAGCTCTTTTGTAGTACAGTCATATTATTAATGATAGTCTGTGATTTTACAAGTTTTATGGGATTGATTACGATACCTAACTGGAGTTTAGTATGGTTAATAATTAAAAATTGCATTAGAATTAAAATCAATGAATTATATTTGGTTTGTTTTAAGATTTATCCCTTAGAGAAAAATACAATTTGTGGGTTGCCTTTTAACTTTCCGTGAGAATCTTATTCTGAGTCCGTAATAAAAAAACATACTGAGAAATAAAAATATCCAAAACAAGGGGTGTGCTTACAAAAAGGGCATCTTGTGTTTTACTTTTAAAAATCATTAAACTGACTTCGTAAGCGGTTTACATTGTGATAACATGCTTTCTAATTAAAATCAGTAGAAATTGTTTATTTTATTGCTTAAGTCAATGGACAGACAAATTAAAAATGTAATAACGCTATTTTGCTTTGAAATTTTCGCGATTGGCAATAATTTTTCCAATTTTCCATTATCCAGAATGTATTTTGGTTTTAAAACATCATTTCAATAATGTAACTCGTAACATATTGGCATGAAATTACAATCGAAATACATACGCATGAATAACATTTACTTGTTACTGATAAAGTCGATCGTAAAACATAAATAGAGTTACTTTATAACCGAATTCAATCAAATTTATATATATCTTAGAACTTAGTCACAAATTTATTTTTCATATATGAATTATTTAAAAAGTTAGAGGTTAAATGGTATTGTAGTTTTAGAACACGTTTGTAATAAAAACTTTTTGTTTATTTTCATCATACGGCTAGCTTTATGCAATCTGAATAGATTTTGCAAGCCATTAACTTTGTGACAAATTGTCGAACAAAATGGCTGCCCGCTTTTTGCGCGGTAAACTATACTAGGAAAGTATCTCGACAACGGATTTTCTTTCAATAGCGGATGATGTATGATTGCAATAGGGTGCTTTTTTATTGGCGTTTCCCTCAATCCTTTGTGGGGTTAACCGACTGTGAACTTGGTAGTTCCCCTATCGTCATGATGGTTATTGTGATGTTATCGAGGGTTTATTTACTCTCGCTTAATTGTATATAGCAATTTTAATGAACCGACATTTTTAATAAGGTTTTTTTTATATATTTTTAATTAAAAAATAATGTTACTTTACCTACTTTTATATAATTCTTTTAAAGCACTTACTTAATGGTGCCACCTTCAAAAGTATTATTTTAAAAATAACTGGAGTTTATTATAATAAATGTTTGCTTACCGATTAAGAACTCATGCTCATAAATAAATTATCAAAATTAAAAATGTAAATATTCAAATATTTTTCACAGGTCAAAGTGTGGTTCCAAAACAGAAGAACGAAACATAAACGAATGCAGCAAGAAGAAGAGGCGAAAACGGGCACGAAATCAGGTTCCTCCAGTTCCAAGCCCGAGGACAATCAGTTCAACAACTCCTATGAAGAGGAAGATGAGGAACTTATCGATATGGACATGGATGAACTAAGTGAGAGTGACAACGAGACGTGAGAAGTGAACGTAGTGATCTGTACATATTAATGTAATTTAGTTTTAGTTACATAAATTTTAATTAATTTATTTTTTCGGTTAAACGGCCTGAATTTGGCGTCATTATGTTGTAAAAAATCACCCTTTATTCTAAGAAAGAGGTACCTATTTCATTTAAAAAGATCGTTTATTCAAAATTTGTTTGCGTTTATCAAGCTGGACCATTTATTTTCCACAATAATCTTGTGAGATATTAAAAAAAGTTTCGTTGACAAAAGTAATTCCAAAAAGTTTGATAATCCCATTAAACCTCAATCGTCAACTCCAATAAATTATCATAAAACTTGTTAATTCACACCAATTTGTAAGCCACATTTCGGGACGGCAAACGTGTCATTAATTTAACGGAACATATTTCAAGATGGCGTCTTGTTAGCGTCATGAGTTATTAGATAACGAAATTGGCCGCGTTATAATAGTTTTAGGGGGTTAAATTAATTAAAAACGGCTCTAGATACATTCTTCCAGTGATGTGGGTATAATTAGACATTTAGATCTCAAAGGCTGATACGTTGTGGTTTCTAAACGGACCTTGTCAACAGTGAAGAGAGTAGATATATGTTTTATGTTAGTGTAAGAAAGAGAAAGGTGATATTTATAGAGATGAAGGCGATTATTGCATCTCTATTATTATGAGACTCGTTCAAAAATTGGTATCTTGAGCTCGAATCGACTTCGGTAATTGCCGACGACGGCCCAAAAATTGTTTTTAATCTCTTGACGATTGTTCTCTATGGCTATTTGTCTATGGTCAATTTTTATGATTAAGATCTGTTTCTGGATTGGGGTCTTCACGCGAGCTTTGAAGCATACATTCTCCTTTGTTATTGCCCATTATACTCGACACTTAGAGATAATTTGATGGGCGAATACCGTTGTTATAACGACGACGGTCAGTTTCACTCTGCTAATAACTTGGTTATATAAATATGCTCTCCGACACTTCAATATAGCTACTGTTAGATTTGTTCTCACACAGTTCGTTACACTCAATTACAACGAAATTTCTAAATTTTTCTATAAGATAAAACACTACTAGTAGATTATTTTGATCTATTTTTGTTGCAAAATTCAACAATAGGGATGATGACTAATTTTTGTTTGTTTGTCCGTCAGGTAGAGTGTTAAAAAATATTAAACACGTATTTTTTTCGTAATCATAAAATTACGGCGTTACATTGAGTTGAAATTTCGCATGACGTCACGTTAGAGTACGTTTTCTACTCAACTTTAATGCCTGTTATCTAAGCAATTTCTTGTTAAATTGAAGTAAAAAAAATACGTATCTAATATTTTTCTATTATCTGACTGACGGACTAAATAGAATTGCATTTTTTTTACCCAGTCATCATCCCTATTAGTCGTTCGGAAAAGAAACATTTTCCTTATTTATAAATGTCTAATTGTATCTCGGGTATTCTTTGCCAGTTACCGGAGTCTGGATTAAGCGAGAGGGTGCAACGGAGGGTTTTGACTGTAGGCCAGCTGCCTCCATCATTGGTGGCTGGATAGCCGTCCAAGACATAATCGCCAACTCAACTGACAATCTAAAATCGTGATCACCGAAGAAAGTTAGTTATTCTAATGAGTCGAAATCACTCATTCGTATTTTCTATCAAGGGTTAGCAATTTTGAAACTATCGACAATCTCCACCCAACTCCATTTTGACACTTGATTTTGTATTGATAAACTTCGTTTCGTATTATATTTCGTATTCCGTAAGCATTAGTGACTATAAAGGTAACTTCAATGAGTGATTTCATCTTAATTAAAAAAATAGCAACAGGCTAGGGATTACTGATTTATTAAGAGCTCTGTGAACAATTTATTTCTGATGTCCTTAGAAGTTACAAAATAAGAAGGCAGGTTAATGAAGTGTGAAGGCTAGTTCTTTTCGGTTAAAAAAAGTACACTGGCGTGACATTCTATATTCTATAAATATCATAAATGTGAAAGCAACTGTGTATGCCTGTTGTGCTGCACAGGGCAATCACTAAGTTGATTGTGATGAAAATTGATTTGGAGATAGTTTGGGGCTCAGGGAAGGGTACGGGCATCTTTTTTCAAAATGTTAATGATTCCAAGAATAACAGTTCGTATTTTAAATGCTAAAATAACGGTTTAGGCATGTTTTATAATTCCTAACCCGTAGAACCGATTCCGATGAATTTTTGTATCGAGATAGTATAGCCTAGCTTTTGTTGGCCTTAAATTTCAAGGAAATTGGGATAAAGTAGATCATTTATTTGTTTAGCAAGTTGGGGTAGTGGAAAGCCTTCGTTAATTAAACTCAGGCAAAGTCGATTATTAAAATATTGTCTTCGAAATTGTACTTAATTTTCAATTTGGAGTTTTTTGTTTGTAGTTAGTAAATATAAAATTTACGATTATAACAACCAGATCTCGTGAGCTCTGTTACACTTCGAGGTAAGTGTAAATAAGGTTGATTCAGTTTTTAATAATAAAGAAATATAAGTTGAATTTAATTCATGACATATGTATATAATATTGGCTATCAGCCAGAAGCTTCGCCTATCACCTTATCTATTAAAAAAACCGCGTCAGAATCCGTTGCGTAGTTTTGAAGATCTAAGTATACACAGGGAAGGAAAGCGACTTTGTTTTGTAATGTGTAGTGATTTATAATTAAAATTATTCAATGTTATGTAAAATTGTTTTAAATCTTCTCTAAATATTACCTGTGTAAAGTTAAGTGATAAACTTATAAACAGTTTCTTTTCTTAGAATGACGCCATTCCGTATAGCCACAAAATGAGAGACTAGACCGATTTGGCTATATTTTAATAAGATTATTAATAGTATTTCAAAAGAATAGAATATTCTGGAAGCTGAAAGCGTTTTTTTATAGTTGAATTGTTGAAATATGGATAGGATTCAACAACATCTATCGTAATATTTTAAATAATACAACTATTTTCAAGCTTCCGGTTTTTGTAATGTTTGCATATCAAATAAAACATTTCTTTTATTATGTATATAATAATATTACATCTCCATGATAATTCATTTAACTCTTTTTCAATCAGGTACACTATTTTGGTTAACAAAAAAAAGAGAACGAGCTTTTGTGACAGTTAAAAAGAGTTATATTTACATTTCCTGTTTCTCTTTCTTACCTGCCAACCCTGACAGTTAGGTCCTTTAATGCACGATTATAGGGCTAATTTGTATTTGCTTTTCCGTCTTTTGTTCGATTGATTTACGATTATGAGTATCGAGTTCTCGCCGTATCGGTTTACGAATCGCTTTAATACGTATTTAGTTATTATTCGCGTGGTAATATCGTGTTTTCCGAATGGCCCTTTAACAAACAAACTAACAATAAAATGTGTGTTGTTTTTATCTTTGGAACATTGTAATTAAGTGAGTTGGGAAACAAATAAAGTCAAAAAGTTTTTATAACCTGGATAAAAAAATGTTAATCTCAACCTAAACTGATTTGTTAAAGTGTTTTGAAAGAGTTTGTATATTTTATTTAGTTTATATAATTCTTTTGAACTAAAACCATCGGTAAGAATAGTACCGAACTAAGTTGTTAGTGTTAACATTCTTTTAGGTTGAAAAATCATATTGCATCACTTTCATTTATTTTTAGCAGAATTTTAAATTCTAATCAACTTTAGGAATAGTCTATATATTTGTAGTTGGTTGGATATGGGATTGTATGCTTACTAAACAATATTAGTGTGAGATTATTTAGAAAACAATACGTCATTTTTATACCTAGTTGGAGTTAAAAAAAAACCTTTATTTACGGCAATTATTCCCTTTCAAAAAGAAATTATAAAATATTTTCTAAAGATGGCAAACGTTTCTTTTGCATATATATTATTGTGTTTCTTACACAATTAGAATGGAAATGTACAAATCGCATTATTAGTTGGCAACCGAAGGCTGGATTCCATTTTCAGCTCAATTAACTCTGGATCGATTTAATTATCGATTTTCTTCATTAACTGTTTGTGATTAGCGACCATGTCGATATTTTACGATTGTATTCTTGGTGATTTTTAATTACAGAGCCTTGATTGCCTCTAATTCATTGATTATGTGACAATTTCCGTTTACTGAATTCGTTCGGTCATATACCTACTCTATTGGCTGTTTGATAACAAATTGAAACTGACGGAGCTCTTGATCATCTATTTTTATATAAATCGTAGATAAGCTATAAGTAGCATGGATATTTTTATTCCAAATCAATAGAAACCAAATGACGAAGCTCTCTTTGCCGTTTATTAAAACTATTTTCCCTATAAAAAGTTTTTATAAGACTATTCATAAAAATAAATCAAATTGTCAACAAAATGGAATTACTTTGTCGTTAATAACTTTCAAAGCTGTTAATTTGCGTGTGTAACGTTAGTTTTTTTTTTAAATACCGGCCATATTGTGAAGGTATTTATTCAAAACAAGCAATGAGTATTTAAATTTTATTGAATTAAATACTGAAGTAAAATTATAAATTCATTCAACACTAAATCAACTATTGGTTCATGTTTTTTCAGCTTATTCTTACATATGATTTGTATGTTTTTGTAATTCGAATTATGGTCCCTTTTTTGTTTTAAAATTATTTTGTGGCGTTATGTACAAAACAGTAGAGATTACCAACGCCTAAACGAATAAAAATTTTAAATGTATGATAGATTCGCTCAATTTGACATAATTCATAGATATATTAAGTCAGTTCCTTTAGTTATATAAAAATATGTCATGTAACCCTGCTTATAATATACAGTATTAAATATATTGACAGATTGATAGAACAAAATGATTGTGCTTTATGATTTTTATTAGTTTTATTTGTATTGTTCATTGGCTTATTAAAATATGATGTGAAAACGTTGTCTCACTTCAGTTATCTTTCGTTTTTTTTAAGTTTTTTTTTATAATTTCGTCACTATGCTTTCGTCCAACAAGCTACATCGACCTGCCCTAGAAAATACACACAGAAAA